TCTGTTTCGTAAATTGCAAATTTTAATTTCGGAAATTTCGGATTTTCATTTTGTTTCGTTTCGTTTTTTTTTGCAAGTTACAGAAGGCCCCTAATATTGTCGCCCCAAGTATAATAGGAATGTCGTCGCGAATTGTACCCAAATTGTATCTGCCTTTGTTTTATTTTACGGGAATCCTCGAGTTGAAATCTTTGCGTTTTATTCATACCAAAATTTCCAAAAACTGACGGTTGTATTTATTATTACAAATTCTGTTCTACGGTAGTCACAACACTGAATCCAACTTAGTTAACTGAGGCAGTCAGCCTACTTATTTTAATTACATGAGCCATCTAAATTTTGATTGACCCGCTTTAGACTAGTTATGGCTATCCACAATTCAACCGATATAATATTGATAATCTGAAAATTGAATAAAAAATGGGGGGGGGGGGGTAAGTATGTTAAAAACTTGGAGAAAATTGTGAGCTTTAAATGAAAATGGAATGCCGAAACTGTTCATCATAAACGTTGGGTTTCCAGAAAAAATGGGAGAATTGGAGTCTCCATAGGACAAAAACTGTCAGTGCTCACCTGTACAAAGTTGCCTCTATTAGCATAATGACTGCTAGACACGGCCTTTTGTGCTCTCCACTTTTGCTCTATTTTCTCATCTCAAGCTCTACGTTATGCAGACAGACTGAGCTTAACACCTATGGGAACATTGTAGGACGTCGTGGACTGGAGTTTTCTAGAGGCTTTGCGCAGTATATTCAAGAAAGAAGAGTTATTTCGATCTACTCTTCAGATGAGTTATGGATTAGCTTCGCCCGTGGAAATCTGCCCTGTGAACGGCCATCCTTTGTAAGGGTTCAAAATACCACTCCTGAGCCTTTTTTTTCTCTTTGGCGGTGCGGTCGCTCAACGTGCCGGTTCACTGGTCCGCGGCGAAAATATTTTAAATAAAGAATTTCATATTATCCTAACTCTTGTGCTGGTTTTAACTTTATGAAACTGTGTATTTCACTAAGTGGCGACATCCATCCATTACCAGGTCCAGATACCACTAGCAATAGGATTGCTGTTATTCATGGGAATCGACAGACTCGTCGCATCCCTGACTCAGTTGGACACGTGAGCGCAAATTGTAATAGAATACAATTGACAAAGAATACACAATCAACGATGCATAAAAACCAAAACAAGCTCTTGGAGATAGCCCATCTTAACGCAGAGCTTCTCAAATGTAGACAACACTTCACTGAAACGAAGGAGTTAGCCTTGGAACGTGATTTTGATATTTTAACCATCTCGGAGACCTGGTTTAACTCTTCCGTGACCAACAGTGTTGTCGAAATCCCGGGATACAAGGTCTTTAGACTTGATCGCCTTGGAAAAGCAGGTGCCGGTGTATGTGCTTACGTAAAATCTACTCTGAAGGTAAAAGTCCTGAAGGATCTCACGGAAATATCCGAATCCGGCCTACACAAGTTGTGGATTCAAGTTCAAAATAAGAAGCTTCGTTCATTGCTGGTTTGTATTGTTTACAGACCCCGGAAATTGGAACTGTATGCCTAGAGAATGAACTGCTCCCAAAGTACATCGAAGCGTTATCACGCAACAAGGACATTGTGCTAACAGGCGACTTAAACTGTGACTTCTTTCAAACAATCCGAGGGGAGAAGCATTGCTGTCGTTTTGTGCAACTGTAAATGCGACACAGCTTATAGACAAGCCAACTCGCGTGACTGAGAACTCACGCTCCTTATTGGATGTCATCTTGGTCTCTGACCCTGTCCTTGTCAAGTCGAGCGGTGTTCTTGAAATAACTATAAGTGATCATTTTCTGGTTCATGCTGTTATTAACTTAAGATCACCCAAGCAAGCCCCAACCTACATCGTCACACGTAGTTTTCGGAATTATATAGCCGATCAATTTGCAAATGACATCGCGCACATCCCACGGGATACTATGAACCTGATAGACGAATCCGTTGATAACAGACTCGATACATTTAATGACTTGCTGTTGGCGTGTCTGGACGACCATGCTCCGGTTAAAACAGTGAAAATACGACATAAACCAAACCCATTCATCACGGAGGACATAAGGGATTTGATGAAGGCCAGAGACCACCTTCACAAAAGAGCGAGAAGGACTGGGACGAGGGAAGATTGGGAGGCTTTTAAGGAGCTGCGAAATAGAGTTAAATTTGTTTTACTGAAGGCGGAACGAGAGCACTACAATCATCAAATCTGTGAAAATAAGAACAACAGTGGGGCAATGTGGAAAACTATTCGCAGTGCCCTCCCAAATAAATCAGGCCGCCCAAGCTTTACCAAGGACACAGATGCACTCGCTAATGAATTCAATCGCTTCCTTATATCTGTGGGACAGAAGGCCGCCGATGACTCTGCGGAGCTCGCTCGCCTTCACGGCCTACCAACTACTCCTGTTTATCTCGGTTCAACTCATTGTGATGAACTTTTTGACTTCAAAGCAATAACCAGTGAAGATGTGCGAAAAGTGATTATAGCTATGCCTTCTAATAAAGCTCCAGGCTATGACAGAATTCCAGTGTTTGTGATCAAGGACTGTTTACCGTATATATTACCAACCCTAATTGCATTGATAAACTCTTTTAGCAACTCTGTTTTCCCTAAGGCCTGGAAGAAGTCGGAAGTAGTGCCACATCTTAAAGATGGTGATCACGAGATTCCTAGTAACAATCGCCCTATTTCATTATTGCCTGTACTTTCTAAAGTGACCGAAAAGATCGCCCTGAATCAGTTCACTGATTATTTGACTCAACAAGGCAACCTCACCTGTCATCAAAGCGGAAACCGTAAATACCTTTCTACTGAAACACTGAGTTTGCTTGTCACCGGTCATATATGTAAAGCGATGGATAAAAAGGAGATCACGGCTATGGTCCTAATCGACTTGAGCAAGGCTTTTGATAGCATATGTCATAGAACTCTCCTCACCAAGCTGAAAGGGCTCGGTGCGTCAAATGAAGCGTCAAAGTGGTTTGAGAGCTATCTTACAAACCGAATGCAGTCAACACGACTTGGTACATCTCGCTCTAGTGAGTTAACTGTCACACATGGTGTACCACAGGAGTCCATTCTAGGACCTCTTATGTTCAGCCTTTACATGAACGACCTACCGTCCGTTGTTAAGTTTTTAAGCGTAGAGTCATATGTTGATGACACAAAGGTTTATTTTTCGTGTTCATCGAATAATATTGAATCCTGCCTTGCAAAAGTCTCGGAAGATCTCCGATTTATTACCTCCTGGTGCTGTACGAATAAGTTGCTTATTAATCCAGACAAAACTAAACTTATTCTTTTTGGAACGAAACAGCTTTTAAGTGGGGTTCCTGATATCAGAGTCCCCTTTCTTGGGCAACACTTAATTCCTGTGTGCTCAGTCAAAGACCTGGGTATAATGGGTATAATATTAGACTCGAACCTTACTTTTAATGAACACGTTAACACTCTGACCTCGTCTCTTATTTCTACCCTATGCCAGATAAGCAGAGCTAGGCACTTGTTTCCAAATCAGTACTTACCACCATTCTGAACTGTCTAGTTTTTTGTAAACTCTTTTATTGCTCGACAGTTTGGTCTGGAACGTTTGCGCACAACATAAACAAATTGCAACTTGTACAAAACTTTGCTGCCCGTGTGTTGACAAACAGCAAGAAGTTTGATCACATCTCACCAGTGCTGCGGGCACTGTGTTGGCCTTCTATTAAGAACCAGTTATTAGTGCGTGATGTTACGATGCTATACAAAACAGTCAATGGCCTTGCACCACCATATTTAGAGTGTTACGTCAACAAAAGATCAGCTATCCACAGCTACAATACTAGATCTAGAGACAACTTAGTTGTACCCTTTTGTAGGACAGCCACAGCACAGAGGTCTTTTAGTTATAAAGCAATCACTGCCTGGAATTCTCTTATAAGTGAAGAAACGAAAAATAGCACAACACTCTCAGTTTTCAAGCGTGCAGTAAAGCGCGAAATATATGACAGTCCGTAGGAATCTTTTTTAGGTATAGAATTTTAAGAATATGTGAGTTATTTATTTGTATTTGTTTCTTTATCATGATATTATTGTAACTTTTATAGGTAGTTTTATTCGATTTCCAATTATTGTAAATTAAATCGTAAGAGCCACTGGGTGGAGATTTAATAAACTTACTTACTTACTTACTTACTTACTAGTCCCTTCAATATACCCAAATGCGATGTAGGACCATTTCTAGATTTCTGAGTACATGCAGGGCCGTAGCCAGACTTCAAGAAGAAGACGAGGCAAGTTTCGAGCGTAGAAGGCGCGAGCCACTAGGGGGTCTGGGGGCATGCCCCCCAGAGCATGCAGGCTCAGAAATTATCTTTTAAGCATTTTCCGTGGCATTTTTCCTCAGAAAAGTCAATCTAGGCCAAAATCAAGACGAGGCAATTGCCTCGTCTCGCCTCATACTAACTACGGCCCTGACATGTATTTTTATTTCACCAAATGTGATTTGTCATCTATATTTTTGTTTTCAAAAAGACTGATGTTACTGTCAATGTTTGAATGCATATACATCTAGCAAAAACCTTTAGAGATCTTATTTTCAAGTGGTACCAATTTTTCTTGGAAGAATTACAGTTTATAATTATAAGCTTATATCATTGTGTTGCTGACATCCAGTCTTCAAGTATCTGTATTACATTCTTTTACATACTTACATTCCTATATATCATGAAGAATAAAACTCCAGGCTTTAAAAGGTCTAATCCTAACCCTAACCTTTAAGTCTTAAGGGAGAATTATAGAGACAAGTCAGACATCTTTTCCTGAGCTTTATTTTTCTTTTAGACATTTATCCCTTATTTAGGAATTAAAAATGATATGCGAGGTTCCAAAATACATAGTGATTACTGAACTTTAACAAATCTTTTAAGTATTGATGAAAAAAATTACATATTACGATGCTGTGAGAGCTCAGCTCGAGCGTGGGAGTTTTATCTTTGTGTCAAATGTGGCATATTAACACTCCCTTTAGAGCTATCAGCAGCCCGGGTATCGAACGTAGCGAGCGGTCTTACTTCCACTCTTTTTCTACAACAAAGTATGTTCTTAACGGCAATTCGGAACTGCTTACTTTGCAAAGCATAAACAAACGGATTTATGCTGGAGTTCAACAGCACTAGCAACTCCGTCACAAGATAACCGATCGAGTAAAGTTTGGGGTTAGCTATGTAATAAACGATGACGTTTATCAACAAATTGGGAAACCAACAGAATGCGTAAATAATGTTCAGAGTGACAAGTATTTTTGTGACTCGCTTTCTTGAATTCAAACGAGCCAGTTGTGCTCCGTGCACAGCTTGTCTTTCGCTGTGCCACAGGTTGTGGACGATCTTACCATAAAATAACACCATAACACAAACTGGGATTACTCCCACAAACATCAACCATAAGTAGTTATAGCTAAGTCCTAATCGATTGTCTGGCCAGGAACTTCTGCAAAAGAACCCAGTCCCTGGGTCGTCATTAAATTTGCGAACAACAAATAAAGGCGCGTTGAAAAAAAAGGCAAATACCCAGCACGACGCAACAAGGACGCCAACCTTTTTCTTGGTGATTCTTTCTCTGCGGTGGTAAGGCAAGACAATTGCGTAGAACCTATGAAAAGTAAGGTTAATAATAATAAAGCACATCTTTGTGTGGAAAAAATTAAAAACTGACTTAGAATCAAATGTCCCCGAATTGGTTTCATAGACAGGGGTGTTAGAAGGGGAGTGTTTCCGTAGCAATATTTTGTTTGGGCTGATATCCCACCTCGTATTCTAAAAAACATTGTGATAAAAAAGGAAAAGTAGGGGATTCGTCGCTAGGCCCAATCAGGGCCCAGTTCTCCGTATTCTTCCATATTTTGTCAGGTGGAATCCCTTAGTGTCCATACCCTTACCCTAAAATCTTTTGGAAGCAGCATATCATACAGTGTTAGATTACTAATTAATCGTCAATTGCAATATGCTTTTAACCTTCTTTAGATCTGTAGGATTTTCCAACGCGTTCCCACAAGAGGAAGGATTCTTAATAGTTTGATATTCATAGTTTTTCAGTGCTGAAGAAATTTAATGAAAAGAAGTGACACTATCGCATCCACGAAAGTTAATGTGACTTTCATGAATCTCATTTTTTACAATTTCAAGCTAAACTGAAAAAGGACAGGACAGAAGAGGTTGTTAAGGGGACGGCTTGGATAGACATAGAATATGGATACACCTGTGTCAGTTTATTCCTTACAGTCACTTTCAGTTTCAGAGGAAAACCGTTTCTTACGGTAAGTCAATTTCTAAAGTTTTTCATACAGTTTCCAATCTAACTCTCAGGGTAAATCTCTTCCCGACAAAATACCACTTTTCCCCTTTTACGAAGTCGTTCACATTATCTCCACACCGTCTGCTATGAAATAGCCTTCACCCGGAAAATCTGATGATGTTAGCGCTAAGGCAGAAGCCTCGAAATACAGAACGTCGTTCGAGGATAAACCTGAAAAACCTGTAGGTGAGATGGACTGGGCCTGAAACTGGACTTGTTGGGAGAGACTTAAAGAAAGCAGAGGTGAAGGTATTTCTTTTATGCTAAAGAATACTTTTTATTCAGTGTGAAGCATTGAAATGTAAGAAAAGCTTAATTAAATGTGTCAAATTCATTAGAATTTTAGTACAAAGCATGAAAAACGGTTAAATCACCTCTCGAAAGCTATAGCTAAAAGTGTACATACGGAAGCCACGGACCCTACCCAGGAGAGGGTCTTTCCAGTGAGGAGCTTACACAGATAATCACCTGTCAAGCCTCCGGGATGATTGGCCGTATCAAAGAAAACTTGGTCCACGACCATAAAGAAGGCCACTGTTATGTCTGCCACAGCCAGGTTTCCTAACAAATAATTCACTGGAGTCCGCAAGTCTTTTTTAGTGCGTTTGATCACTATAATGACTAGAAGATTGCCAATTAAGTTTACTGGGAAAAAGATTCCCATTTCTAATGAGCGTACTATCTGGAGAGATGAAGCCATTTTGGAGTGCGGCCGGTACTGTGACCTCTAAACCCTTTGGTGTCGGAACCCTAAGAAAGTTACAAGATAAAACAAATGATAACAAATTATTCGTCAAGAGTAGTGATCGGCATTTCACGTTACATAAATGTTGTGTAGGTAATCTTCCTTATTACAAAAACTACTACAGCACTGCTAAATCAAAACCGAATTGTATTCAAGCCATATCTGAGATAAGCTTTAAAATATAAAAGAATCGACACTCGTTCACCGAACAAAACAGAAAGTTAAACTAAATAGGCTGAGTGTAACACGCACCCATCAAAAGGCTTGCAAAATATAGAGAGTTATCAATTTGGTGTTATTTCGTATTTTTGTTAAATTATGAATTCATATTTCCATCAGTACATTAAATTATTTTTTTTAGAGGGCACAGTAACGAATCCTGCAATCTGATTGGTTCTCAACCCGGTCAGTATTTTCCTATCTCTGCCCACGGGCCACGGTAACGCTTTCGTGAGTCGCCGAGTACATCCCAAATTTCGTTGCCATTTTTCATAAATATATCTCGTTTTTCCGGCTGGGCAGTATTTTTAAGCAAACACGTCGGTCACCACCTCAAGCCGATAAATAACTTGTGAATCCTCTCTTTTCTCACTCTCAAATCACTGTGGTCGACAGAAAAATATTGGTTTCAGAAAGAATTTGTTTAAGCAATAGTGTCATTACGTTGGCTGACTAGCAGCCTAAAAACCGTCTGCAATTAATTTTAATCGCTCACAAAAAGTACCTAGAAAGTTAAAACGTGAGGTATTTGGTTACAGTTAAACTGAACGAACGAACTTCATTCGTTTAATATCTGAATTTTCTCAAACAATTTGTTCGTAGTGAAAGAGCGAGCAAAGTTTTAAATTCAGTTTTACAACAAATATGCGCTCTCGGTGAGTCTTTCCGAGCCCGTTCAATTTAGACATTTGTACCGTAAATTGTAATGTGGAAACTGAAGGAATTTATTGAGAAAAGGCCGCATTAAATCCCCTTGTGCCTCATTGGAGTGTGCCATCGAATTTAGTTTTTGTGGAAGAAAGACCAGATTTACACACGCCATTGCAGCAAACAAACGAGCAAACTCTCAACTTCAAAATAAAAAATTTGAATTTACTCATAATTGCTTTCCTCGCCGTTAACTTAGTGAACAGAGGTAAATCTTCGTACATGAATGAATCGTCGATGAGAGTGAATAATACTTTCCGTTAGATCATTGAATGTTTTTGAAGAAAACATTAGCATGTGTGACAGTCCTTGCTAAACTAGTTCCGTTGTTTTTCAAATGTTCTTGCGCTTTTTCTTTTCTTACGCGCTCTCTAATTGACAGGAGTCAGATTGTGACAGATACTTGTAAAAATAATGTTTCAAAGTTTGTTTGGAAACCTTTTAAATAACCTTTATCCTTACGCAAATGAAAATGTTTCGGTGAGGCATCTCTCTTTAATTTGCATCACCTCTATTTTAACTATCATTTACTCGCTCAAAAATTGTTCAGTTTATGGAAGATCTTGCCGTATTTACAGCCCTAAATCATTCGGGTTCTTTCGGAAAGAATTTCGTCAAGTTTAAAAAAAAATAAATATGTTATTTACCGGCTAAGGGTCGGTCCGTATGGTGAAAAACTGTGACCTCGGTCTTGAAAATGCTGCCCTCGGCCTACGGCCTCGGGCAGTATTTTCAAGACCTCGATCACAGACCTCCCAGCCGGCAAATAACATATATATATTGCATAGAATTTGATTCAAAGTCTTGTTCAAATCGGCTCTTTTAACTGGCTTCAAGTGGGCATGACTCTAAGGCAAAAAAAATGAACAAACCAGATAAAATAGTATAGATTGGTTGTTCGTCAGTGGCTTATCGAGACATTTACCTGCACACTGATGCAATACAAAGCCTATGATTTCCCTTTAATTTTACTTTCCTATGTAGAAATCCGAATTGTTCATTGAAAACGTGCACATAAAAGTAGCCGACTCGTGATGAAACGACGCTGCAAAGTCGTTTGTATTCTTCTTTTTAGAGGGTCTCAGTTCACCGCTAGAGTTATTTCATCTAGTGGATGTTTATACTGATGTGTCGCTGGCGACAACTTGACATTTTTTACCAGCTGAATTGATATATGTGACAAAGAGCTCAAATATTTTATATAAAAAATTTGGCAGGAGTAACATGTAGCAAATTTGTGATAATTGCAGCGGAAAACGGCAGGGCATTGTTGGGCATGTGTCACCAATTTGCATTTAATATGTAATATAGCTCTTTCAAAAAGTGTTTGAACAAGAGGCAGATGATTCTTAAGGTGGCTGGAAACAGTTCTTTTTTTTTTTCGGCGTATTAAATAGGGAAAAAGAAAAAAAGGACCAAAACAACTTTAGGTAGGCTCAGCGGATAACCATCAAAATTTACCCTGAAATAAAGATAATAACGCTTCATCAATTGGTTGTAGAAGTAGTGCCATAAACGTTGCCATAGCAACACAAAAGAGCTCATGAAGAAAGGCCAACAAACAGACAAATGTTTAATTTTCTCGAAAATTCCTCGATAAATTTTGTTTAAATTTTGCATACAGTCTTAGAGTTATGCATTCTACCTGAGAGCCAACTTAAATAAAATTCTGTCAGAAATTTTAGTGAAAACTCCCGCGTTTTGGAATTCATTCTTAACTTTTTTTTCAGTTGACAGAATTTTTCAAAAATCGCTTTTCAAGGCATTGCGGACGGAGCGAAGACAAAATGCCAAAAATGAAAAAAATTTACTGAGCGAAAGCGGAAATAATGCCGCCGGAAGTTTCAAATTTCTGAACATTTTAACTCTATAAGGTGGGCAATTGTGCATGCTTTCAAGCTGTATACGAGAAAGAATACGCAAGACGCCCAAGACATTCTGTTTGTTTATTTCGCTTTGTCAGTTATGCTGTACCGAGAGTACAACTTTATTTTGGGTAGAAACTGTTACCTTTGGGATGAATGGTGTTTGTTAATCGCTACTGTGTCATTTGCCTTCGAAATGATGAATAATTTTGGCTAAAGTCGCCAGTTATTTTGTTCCTCGTGGCGTGGATCGATTAGCTCCTGCTGGCGCCCGTCTCAAAACTGCCACTAATGCTTCTTTTCCACCGCCTGAGTATGAATGGTGAAGATCCTGTTACGAAAGGCCGCTTTCGGCAAGTTTTTGAATTAGGCTTTGCCTTATGAGCCCGTTGCCACTTTGTGAGAAGAACTTATCCATGAACTTTTGCACACGTACGAAACGTTCGTTCAATTACACTATTTCGTCGAGAAGGAGGCCGGCTTTAGATTGATGTTGATTACGATATCTTCATCTGTCAACTTCAGCGGGAATTAAAAAAGTACGCGTCTGAGAGCACGCACACTTTCCAAAGCATAGTGTGCTTGAAAATATTCGTCAAAAAGTGTCTTAAAGACAGATGGAAGATTGCTTTTGCGCGCTTTTCCTCCAAGATTGAGCGACGTGTGTCTATTTTTGGTGAGTGTTTTGAGGAGGTGAAGGCTGTATACGAAGGAAAAATTCATCGATGAAAGCATTTGTTTGAAATCCAGCCCAGCACATCGTAATAGCGTGGGAGTGTCAAAAACAGAGGAATTGTGACCGATCAAGACAGTGTGACGAGTTGTACTACTTGGGCCAACGCTGGAGAGGAAATTTAGGAAATTTACAAGGCATTCACTTAGAGGTAATGATTTCACAGGAGTGTTTTATTTGAACAATATTCTCTGACCATTTGTGATTTTGCTGTTTACTCGATATGCATAATGCCGGGGTAGTTACGAAAACAAGGAATGACCTAAAATGACCTAAAATGACCTAAAATGATCTAAAACGACCTAAAACGACCTAAAATGACCTTAAGCGGCCTAACATGACCTTGAGTGATTTCTAAAATGTCCTAAAATGCCCTAGAATGATTTGGATTGGACCGGAGCAGATGGGATCGGATCACGGATCGGATAACGGACTTGGTCAGGGATAGGATCACGGACTGAATCACGGATCAGATCACGGATCATGGATCGGATCAAGCAAAATAAAATTAGGAATTTTGCACGACAAGCCAAAATAAAGTCTACGTGACAAAATAGATCGTAGGCCTCTCTGTGAATTTTTGTTTTTGCTCAAAAAACCCAATGTAGTCACTTTCAGGGCTGTGTGGACGAAGGTAAGCTAAAGGTATGTATCATTTCATTAGTCAGTTAAGAAAAGCGCGACACACTCCACAATCGCTTCTTAGGGTCCTTGAGCTTCTTCCATTGCTAGCGCGTTAGGCATGTTGGAAGCCATAGTTCGCAAACTGATCGACCTAAGTGTTCCACATTGCAAGGTCAAAGTCTCGGACGCAATTTGAGACGCGTGACCTCCTACTGATCCCTACGATATTCAACCAACGAGAAGTTATTTTAGTGACATTTGGTTTGTCACGAACTCCTCTCAATAACATTTGCGTTTTGCGGCTGTTCGAGATCAGGAGAGCCGCTCAGATCGAAGAAAAACCGAAAAAAAATTGGAAAAACCCGTTTGAATTTTTGACGGAAACCGAAAACCAAATCAGTGCTAGACCACGTAAAATCTGCTAACCGAAAGGAACAATCCGATCCGATCCGATCCGATCCGATCCGATCCGATCCGATCCGATCCGGTCCGATTAGGTAATTTTAGAAACCACTCAAGGTCATTTTGGGTCATTTTAGGTCGTTTCGGAAATCACTCAAGGTCATTTTAGGTCATGTTAGGTCGTCTTAGGTCATTCCTGGTTTAGTAACTACCATAGAGGCTGATATTGCGCGTTGGTAATATATAGTTATTGTAGATTTTTCCTCCTTTTGTAATTGCAGTTATTTGACAAATTTCTGCATCTTTAACTGGGGAAGTTGTCTTTGTGTCGAATAAGACAAATTGATATTTAGCTGCGTTGTTTAGGTTGTGCTCTTTAGGTTGTGCTGGGCGTTTTTGAATGGTTGTACCATCCTTTCGTATTCCGAAAACCTGGGTTTTAGCGAAGACAAAGTTGACTGAAGTAATTATATAATGGAATCATTTGCTGTTATGTCCAAATTTAGACCAACACTAGTTTATGCGGTGCCTTCTCTAGCCTCACCTCTGCTGTTTGCACTCAATTTACCACGATGTAGTTGTGATCGTCGTTTCTTGAATAAGGTTAGTGAAAACGTGCACATAAAAGTAACCAACTCGTGATGAAGCGACACCCCAGAGTAGTTTGTATGCTTCTTTTAAGAAGGTCTCAATTCACCGCCAGAGTTTTTTATCTAATATCTTTTATCTAATGTTTATACGGATGTGTCGCTGGCGACAACTTGACATTTTTTATCAGCCGAATTGATATATGTGACAAAGAGCTCAAATATTTTATATTAAAAATTTAGCAAGAGTACCATGTAGCAAATTTGTGATAAATGTTTTATCTAATAGATGTTTATACTGATGTGTCGCTGGCGACAACTTGACATTTTTTATCAGCCGAATTGATATATGTGACAAAGAGCTCAAATATTTTATATTAAAAATTTAGCAAGAGTACCATGTAGCAAATTTGTGATAAATGTTTTATCTAATAGATGTTTATACTGATGTGTCGCTGGCGACAACTTGACATTTTTTATCAGCTGAATTAATATATGTGACAAAGAGCTCAAATATTTTATGTTAAAAATTGATTAAGAGAGACGTAGCAAATGTGTGATAAATGTAGTGACAAAAGGCAGGGCATTGTAGGGCATGTGTCACTAATTTGCATCTAATATGTAATATCGCTCTTTCAAAAAGTGTTTGAACAGGAGGCAGATGATTCTGAAATACTACATATCAAATTTTCATGGCTTTATTTCTCCTATCTTGGTTTTTGAGCTCGTAGGTCCCCTATCGACAAATGCGAGAACAAGCGATATTATAAAGCTCAAGGGAAATCTTTAAAAAAATTGGGCGTTAAGGTTTAATCAGGTTAGGACTCACAATACATCCGTTGATAATCTCACTCTCCTTTTCCAGAAACGTTGTAACTTGAAAAAACCACTCTGCACACTGACAGACTCTTTCATAGCCAGGGGGCCCGACTTTAAGTGAATCTGACGCATATGTACTCGTGCTGGTTCTACATGCAGACTGAAGGATATTACTTCACTTTAATCAATTTTGAAAGGGATATCGGAGCCGTGATTATGGATGGTAACCTCAGCAAGTACAACTGACATGATTTCAGTTTTACTTTAATTTGAAATAAATGGTAACTCAAAACGATTACTTTTCCTGAAATCGTCTCTCGTGTAATTATGTATAATTAAATATTGCCACGAAAAAGCGAACTAAACATGGAAACGAGCGAGGAAGATTCATTTTGTATTCGTCGGCTAATTGATCATCAATTATGACACATTTTTAGGATGAAACACTTTTTACAAGTAAGCTATATTTATGGAAACAAACGTTATGGAGGTGAACATATCAATTAAATTTGCGTTTAACGGATAGCTAAAATTCTTACTATTTCGAAATCACACCAATATCCTCTAAAGTAATTTTCACCCGTATTAATAAAGAGAAAATTTGACCAAATCGTCCCAAATATTAGATCAAAATATGATTAATCGGCTTTCCAGATCGTGCTTTTTTGCATTTGTGAAATTGTTTGCCATTAAGTATTTGTCGTGATTTCTTAGCTTTGATTGGATAAGGTCATTTTTCATTTCTTTGCAAAAAAGAACAGGAAACTGTCATTGTTGCTGTATTTACTTTAATTACAATATGTGCTTGTCTAATACATCGAAAATCCACTTTAAAAATAGCAATCATGGCATGTTGGTGTTCAATGTAATCGTAGAACGTGATTATTCAATTTCAGCTGTTCTTCGCAAGAGAGCCGGTAAAATAGCGCTCTCGACAAACTAAGACACAATTCCATTCGCCTGGTAAGTCGGCGGTACCTCAAATTTCCTCACATTTTCCTTCTATGGAAAGGAATCAAATGTAAATAACTGATCGAATCTATAAGATGCATATATAGCGAAATTGAGAATATCATAACAACCTCCTTTCGAGCTTCCTTTATCTACAATGGAAACGACCTTCAAAGTACTATTCATTATTGCTATCGCTTCAAATTTTGTTGGAAACGTATCGGTCATCTTCGTGATTTTATTACACAGGAGAATGCAGACTCCAATGAACTGTTTGTTGGCCAACTTAGCCCTGGCTGACTCAATGGTCGGTCTTTTCTTGATCCCAAGAACACTTCTTAATGATTTATATACGCATCCCGGTGGTTGGGTGGGAGATTTGTTATGTAAGATGTTGACGCATGCATGTTTCACATATCTGGCTGCTGTGGCTTCAATGCTAACACTGATGTTTATTGCATGGGAAAGATACTACGCCGTGATTTATCCCCACAGCTCAAAGGGCAGAATAAATGCAAAGAAACTCCGTCTTTTAATCGCTTTGAGTTGGATTATTGCGTGTGGTTATGCTTCCATTGAGTTCTGGATCATTAAGTTTGACGAAAATAAGAACTCGTGCATTTACGACTGGTCAGAAACGTTGTGGAAGATTGATGTGTTCGTCTGGTGTATCGTCCTGAGCTTGGTACCACTTGTAATCCAGGTGGGATTGTATGTAAGAGTGGTGCATCGCCTATGGGGAAAAAAAGCTCAAGTCAATGAAATCTCTCAGCGCTCACTGATGATACAGAGGAAAAAACTGACGAAAACTATCATTCTCATATCTTTTATTAACATCATTTGTAGGCTTCCAATTGATTTCCACTACTTTTTGTCTACGTTTGCTGGCGAGACCTTCACTACAGCAGAATGGTGGGTACCTATTTCTTTCTCGGTCAGCCATTTAATGCTCGTTCTTAACTCTGCTGTTAATCCAGTCATATATGCTGCTCAGGATCGTGAATTCAGACAACACACAGTGCGCTTATTAATGAACAGATGTGGCCGAGGTAGAAGGGTGATGGACACCACGAGTGCTCTAGAGTTTACGAAACCGTCATCCCGTTAACTAACGTGTTTGGACAGGAAGATGAGATTTTCAAATATGTTCATTCAAATTTAAAGGAAGAGTGTTTTAATTGAAGGGTGATAGACACAGCAAGCGCTTTGGAATCAGCGCAACCATCTGCCCCGTAACTGACGTGTTTAAACAGGAAGATGAAATTGTAAAATAGGATCTAAAAAATTTCTCTACGGTAATGTAGGATGCTAGTAGCATATCTCACCTAATGACCTGAGTGACCCGAAAATTCATTCCTCTGATTATTTTTGCCGCGAATTCATAGTTCCAAGAACCTCATACCCATCAATGCCCCATATTCACCAGATCCCAAAAGAGGTCACCAACCGAGGGCTTGGCTAGCTATTGGTGTACATCATTTTAAAAGTGAAGTGCTTTAATTGAACAGAAAAGTCACGTTGTCTTCTTTCATTTATTTGGCCTTTTCCATATAGATGCACATATTTTTTATTTGTTACCGGAACTTAGATAAACTTCATACGATCATCTTTCTCTTCAGAGTCTGGAAATAAATAGAGAACTAATAAATAGCAGGCGCAGACCTTTTTAGTGTTTTACGTAACAACCTCATTTGCTCACTGTTCGGACAAATTCTTCAATTTTTTTAAGGGTTGGTATAACGTTTTTGATGGAACACTTCGGATTGGTATTCTTTCGAAAATTAATCTTGTACTCAAGAAGCTGTTTATTTTACAACTGGCTATATGTCAAATAGTCCTGATTTGGTCCGAAGTAAGCGCTTCGTTTCACTGCTTGATCTGCAGATTAAAGTGTGTTCATTCTGTTAATGCGCGCGATCAAAAAACGTAAGTTTTTTCGGTGCATACTTTCGATGATGAATAACTACATTTAAAGACGTACAAAACCATCAATTTGTGAAGTTACGGGCTAAGAAAGCCAGCAAAAACCAAAGATGAAATCTATAGTGCTGCAGTTTTTGTTGGGCACTCCCTTAACGTAAACATTCTCATGTTTTAGTGTTCCCATTTTGCGACTTAAAAAAATCAATGAGAGGTTTCTAATGGTCAATCAGTTAAAAATAACTTAAATGGTAATGAAGATTGTGTAAAGTCAGGGTCCGCAAAAAAAGATAACAAAAACACACGAGCCAGAAACTTGTTGCGATTTTGAACCATTCCCCTCTCCTAACAGTGAAAAAGACGCATGCGTGTGTTATATCTTTACTTTAAATATTACTTGGGCTGAATCCAGTTTCATATTTCATTAATGACCGCTTAATTAATAATTTTTTCTTCACTTTAACGTAAGAATCAACTTAAGAGTCAATCATCTACATCACTTTGCGTAAGCTACCATGACAACATTATCTCCTCTGAGAAACAGCTGGTTAATATGACGATGTTTAAACACCAAACACTTGTTACGACCAATCATAACCGTTTTTAGCTGAGGGCTGTGTAGTCCATCGGTGCTTTTCTGGGAATTATCTGTATATCCGCTTTTAATGTCATTCTCGCCACGTTTCAAGTTAGACAGGGGAATCTCAAATTTTGAAGCCTCCATTGGAAGTTTTGACCGACCGTTCTCTTCCGGTTCACGACGCAGTTTCTTGGCATGGTGCAGTTCCGTGTCATTACTAGTTCTCCGCTTCCTGGTACTTCCCGTCTCACCACGTTCAAGTTGAACTTTAGTTTTAGAGGTAAAATTCGCAATAACGTTTTTAGTAATCTTTCTGGACGCCTTTCGTGGAGAAACCTTAACTGTGGTCTTAGCCTGTTTTAATTCCCTCTTTCTATTGTCGTTCCGCTGTTTTACCGCATTAGCTATCATTCGTTTTGATTCGTCTCTCACTTTAAGATTACTCGCAGACTTACTTTGCTCTTTGGGTTGTGAACTTAAGACACGTGAGCTTGCCATCTTACGACCGTGTGTATCACTCTCACTATTGCACTTAGCATGAGTCGAGACAACGGCTTTTGTCTCACTCTCCAAAGGACGCCCTAAGCTTCTCTCGTCGGATGAGTCCGATAAGTGATTAACTACGTTGTTTCGATGAGCACGCTTCCCAGTTGAGTCCCTACTCTTCGGATCTTGCATCCTAACATGTTTAGGTAAACTTTTAGTGTCTGATACTTGGGAACATGCTTTAGTTTTCATTTTCTGCTCAGTTTCAGAATCTTTCGCTAGTTTCTTGTCTTCTTTGATGTAACTGTTCTTCAATATCGGCGAGCCACGAGTGACTGTCGATTCCTTTGCCCTAACTTTTGGTTTATGACTTTTAAAACTGCGTGAATTCCCTCCGTTTTCCCTAGATTTTGACTCGGGTGAAGAATTTGGAGCAGTTTTATTCAACTTAAGCTGGGAGTTGTGAGAACGACCCTCAGTTTTGCGTCTTGAGTTTGTGTGTCTAACTTTGTTCTTTGTTCTATCATCATCGTCCTGTAGAGAAATGCTTTTCCTTTCTTTATTTATTTCCTTCTTTCCTCTTACTTGGTTCCTTTGTCCATTACTCTTTGGGTTACAACCAGCGGAAGACCCACTTCCTCTTAAATGCTTTCCTGTTTGTCTCCTCTTTGTCTGAGAAGATCCACTCAATGTAACTTCCTTTTTGCTCGTTTGATTTACAGCTTTAAAGCCATCTTGTTTAACTTTTTCCAGATTTCCCTGATTTTCAGCCGATTGTGTTCCACGGAGACGATCATGAGTGCCACTATCGGGAGAGCCACAGGCTAAAATTGATCCCTTTTTTCTTATTTGACCTAACTTTGTCCTCAAATCTGAGTTTTTAGTGGAAGACAAAGAGGCTCCTCCATCACATCCTGAATTTCCAGGTTTTCTGGACTTTTCTTTAGATGATTTCTGGCGCAATTCAGTTGACGACTGGCGCCTTGTTGAGCACAAGTCTTTTTTTATTCTTCTCAATTCACATTCGCCTTCACTCACTTTACTTTTGCAACGAGCTGTTTTTTGGGTTCCCTGTGAAGAGGCATCAAGAGCAACCTCTAGATCGGAATCAGACGAAGAAAGTTCACCTTCTTCTCTACCTTTTTCACTCTGCCTTTGAGTCTCTGAAGCGCCTTCTTCCTCGGAAGTAATTTCACCTTCTTCCTTATCATCACCCTGAACCTCCTTAGATTTATTCGTCTCTTTTGGGATAGAAACTCCTTTTTCCTCTTTCCTTTGTTCATCGGCAACAGGCTTTGCCCCACATTGCAAAGACGGAACTTTGCCCCTGTACGTCAGATGGTCAATCTTCCGATACTCTGAAGTGGCGTTAAAGACAGTTCCTGTTTCCCTGTCTATCTTTTCCTCAGCGGTACTAGCCACATCACAAGTAGCGGGAGAAGTTAAGTCCCCTTTACTATTCTTGGTAGAGGATGTACTAACTGGACCAACAAAATCATCAACTCTCTTTGAGGAGAGTGGCACACACTCGATAGTCTCCGGTCGTTTCTCTTCCCTCTTTGCACTTTCCTCTGATTCAAAGCACTCCAAGAGTGTCAAAGGAGAATTTGTTTCAGCCACAACTCGTTCACTTTCTTCCTTGTCATGTTTTACATTATTTTCCTGATTAAGTGAAATGGTTTCATTATCTACCAGGCGAATGTCACGTGCAGTAAAAGGAACTGATGTTTCACTACAGTAAGCTGCTTCGAGAATTCCGCAAAGCTCCAAATTTAATGTTTCAGCTGATGTGTTTTGGTTCTTTTCCTCCAAATTATTTAAGTCTCTAGCATGAACATCGTAAGGATTGGTTTTCCCTTGCGAAATATTAGATCCGTTAGTGCTTTCAGTCCTATCAATTCGTTCCTCTCCGTCGGTACAATACAAAAGGCAGTCCTCCTTTACTGTCCCCCGACTCACTTCTATTATGAATTCAGGATGGCGAGTCTGTGTGAGTTCTTCCGCGCTACCAATCTGAACGTTCTTTCTGTTACCATTGTCACAGACACTAACACGAGACAAATTTCTCGTCGGGAATTTTACCATTCGAAAATCAGAAGTCCTCTTTGATACTGGATCATCGATTCCTTTAGAATCTTGTGTATCTTCAGATTCTCTACTAACAGAATGTTCATCTTCAGTTCTGAGAGGAGATTTGTGAGCATGATCAACACGATGAAAAAAAGGAGCTTGTAAAGCTATACTCAGGGCTTTTGCTGAAGGTGACGAGGAATCTTCATAACCGTCTTTAGAATTACCGTAACTAGAATGACCTGTATTGCTATAGTCTCCAAAGATGGATTCATTAGAATTAGGGGAAGGTAACCGAGGCTTAATATGTGTACAAGGCAGGACAGTCTTCGTGCCAACCTGATTATCACTAACAAACACTTCATTGGCAGCATCACCAATAGTGTTCATGGTAACTACTTCTTCCAGCTCACGTGACGGCATTAAAGAGGAATTGTTGTCAGCGGATTCACTTTTCCTCGTTTCTTTTGCTTCTTCATTTTCAAGTAGCGAAGCTATCCTTTTCTTCTTTTTCTTCTTTTTTGTTGTTTCGGGAGACATTTGCCGTTCGACACTATCCTCTAAGGTGTACACTTCATCCACATCGAATAGAGCCTGTAATTAAAGAATAAAAATGTTTCGTTCCAAAGTCACATTTTTTCACAAAACTTACAAATTCATCAAGTGAAATCTTCAAGCAACTGAAGATACCAGGAGAAAGACAAAATTTATCTGAAACCCGTCGAGCGATTTGCACTGCAAACAACTGGAAAGTACTATCAAAAAGTGAGTGGTTAATCTTGATCATGGTGAAATACAATAAAAATTGTAAAAGTAGGTTCTTTTCTTACTGGGATCACTTCCGATGTGGCTCGCAAAGTTTTAACTGCATTCTAGTAGTCTTATTTAGACGCTGAGGTCGTCTGCCTATGCGTCACCTTATATCAAGCTAGCTTGGAAATAAGTAACAGTTGACTCCCAAAAACTCCAACCTCGTGCTAAGTCGAACTATCTTTCCCGCAGTAACTCGGAACCAACCCCCCCCCCCCCGCCCCCGATAACTCGGACTTCCTTCCTTCGAAGCTATTGCTGTCACCCTTAAGATCAATTTCTATATAGTTTTACTCTAGACAACTCGAGCAATGTTTGTTTCTAATTCGAAGGTCGACCTCAAACTGCAGGGAGAAAACTTTTTGTTTAGTATTGTTTTCGTCTTTCACGAAATCGTCGCTTGAAGCACGAGACTTTTCCTTCATCGGGTTCAACCGTACTTGTATCATCCAATTTTTAGTTCACTATCAGAGTACGATATTTCACGACTCCCGGTGGAGCTTGCTGAAGACAGAAATTAATCACTATCCAATATTATTGCTGACAACAACAAAATTTCAAAAGATGTACAAGATTTGAAGGCGTGTACAAATTGTAATCATAGTTTTCTACGTGATCACGCGCTAACTCGTTCCCAGTCTTAATTTCGCTTCATATGTGCTTAAATCCTGTCTGATATTGTTGGATGTCATAAACGGAGCAGCTAAATGAACGAATTTTGTCAGATACAATGTCAAAGTATACAGGCCTTGGCAATACCCCACAAGAATTTCACTACAGTGCTCCCCACCCTTCCCCCCCCCCATCCATTCCCCACCCTCCATCCCCCTCATCTCTACTTTTTCTTTGTTCCAGTAATTTTTTTCATCCAATTCCCATTATTGATAACTGGCACTATTTTAACATTCCTATCAGGAGGAGTACATTTTATGCTGCTATTTTACTCACAAGATTCATGTGTTTGTCAAAAGCAATAAGGTATCCAGCCAAGACACTGCGCAGTCCTTTGTATCTCCTTGTCCAAACTTTTATTTTGCGCCTCTCAGTAAGACAAGTGTGAAGTATTCTGAAAGGTCCTTGACTAAGATCTGTGTGAGCAGAAAATAAATTTTAATATGCTGTTTTCATAATAGAAAATGTTAATAGTAAATTTAATTAAACATGATTGCAAGGATATCTACCATAGATGATCTAATCACTTTTGAATTACTTTTTAACCCTTTAAGCCCTAAAAGCCCGATTAAACAGTTTCAACATTTGACCAACATTTGTTCAACAATCATCCAAAAAGGCCATTCAACATTTTCAAGAACAAAGGAAAAATTGGATCCATGTTGAATGAAAGTTTAAACCAATTTAAACTTGATTCAACACCCTTTCAACAAGCTTTCAACAACTTTTGTTTTCAACAATGTTGGATGACCTGTTCAAACGCACCAAACATTTGGTTCAACAAAGTGTTGAATGCAAGTTGAAGCAAATGTTGAAACCGTTTAAATGGGCCTTAAGAGTAACTTCAATGAAAATTTTCCTCACAGCATCACTGCTGAATCAAATATCAAGGTCATGATAATAAGGAAAATCATTGCAAAATGAAGAAGCTCTTGATTGTCAAATTCTCCTGATCAGCACTAAAGAACATTTATGAGGAGCATTATGGAGAATATACATATTAATGTAAGGGTAAATGGATTTTGAATTCACCTTCGGTAAATTTAAGAAATTTGAAAAAAAGCAAGAATAATTGTTTTGATAATTTTTTAAGTGTAAACAAATATATATACAGTGTTAAAGAAAAAATAAACAGAGCACATAGACCCTACAGAATTTAACTTGGGTAAATTGGAACTTATAATGCATAAATTCAATATTATGCCCATGCAAGAAAAGAACTTGGTACAAATGACACTGATGAAGTGGTTAGAGTTTCAGATTAACATGCATGTTCAAGTTTACTATTCCATTGTTAATATTACTTTTAGCAATTTTTAAGAATGGTGCCATGTACCCACATGCCATACAGCAATTATAAATTTTTTACGCACACTTTACATGAATGCCTAGTGCCCTGATACAAACAGAGATGTGATGCGATGCCATGTCAGTCTACCCCAAGAGAAATACACTGTACCCCTGCCCCATGCCTACAAACACTATATGGTCATGAACACCCCAGACAAGCAGAGAAAATTATTGCATGCTTGGTGATCAATGCTTGACTGATTTAATAGAGGGACTTGCATCATTTCAGATGCATCAGATCAATATGTTTGATTATCCTTAAGCTGACCTATGGACATTTTATCTCATTAGTCTAAAGTTTGAACATTTTGTGGATTGGTACTGTAGTAGTGAAAAATTTAAGACATTTAGCCAGTGGGGAATACATTTCTACAGTGACTAGCACTACTCTCAAACTCAAGATCATCCTAAAGAAGAGACTTGAAACCTTTGAAGATTTTCTAGCTTTTGTCATGAACTGGACATGATACACTCTGTAGGTAATAAAATATAACTATAATTTTTTCCCACATTATCACATTCAATAGGGAAATTCAAAACTTGGTAAAAACATCAGTAACATATTCTGAAGCTTTTAGCCCATGTCGTCTACATTGATTGTGAACAACCTCTTGGCAAATAGAATCAATTTCTTGAATTGATGACATGCACAACTCCTATAAGTTCAGCCTTAGTTCAGTATCATCATGGTTAATGGGAAGACAACAGTTTGAACAAGTATGAAGTTATTTCTAGGTCGCTCAATTCAGCGTTCACCATAGTTTAGAACACTCTGCCAAATGTAACTATGAGTTGTTAAATAAACCCACATAATAATTATACATTCATTATTGCCTTGGAGTTGACTCCTGGGAGTCCGCGCACAGAACATTAGTAACTTCCCCATCCTCAAGCAAAATTGTTCCACAAATCTACCACTGTTCCACACAGCAGAAAAATCAGAATAAAAAACCAGCCTTGTTGACCCTACCTTCCATTTTTTGTATCACATCCACTCGTTTCTTCTTTCGTTGTTGTGCTTTATATGTTTCCTCGGCCAGCATAAATTCGTGCAGTTTTGCGTCTTCCACTCGTCCACCAATCTTTATCTCAGTTTTTCTGTTCTTAGCGATAAATGCTTTTGATTCAGCAATAGCCTTAAGTCTTTCTTGCAGACCTTCCTTCTCAGCTGGTTTGTACTCCGGTTTAAGATTTTTCGTTCTAGAGGCAGTCTGTGATGCTAAAGATTTCACACTTTTCGCTCTATTCTCCCTAGAGACTGTGGTTGTCTTCGTCTTTCCTTCCTTGATTGCAATCGCATATTCGACCAAATTATTGAATACTTTTATGTTAGGGACGGGTGGTTGAAGGTCTTTGGTGTACAGAGCTTTAAATGGATCGAACTTTGAGGATAAAAAATCCAATTCATCATTCACCTCCTTTCGGGTAGTTTTGGCCGCCATCTTAAATTGTAGTGGTTACTAAGCTTTCACCTGTACTCGTCTCCAGTAATACGCGTCCTAGAGGTAGGAACAAAGAAGACTCCTACAAAGCATTACTTTATATATTTTGATAGCTTCTTCCAGACCATCTGTTCGAATGATTTATTTGGCTTATAGAACATCATAGATCCTATAAGATGACCCGTAGGCGGTTCGGCACCCTAGTTCCGACTTTGAAATTGATCATCTTGACTCCTGACTTTAAAATTAATCATTTTACTTCAAAAGTTTATCATCTCGAGTCCAAATCTACTCATTAATACAGGGTGAATAACCAGTTGAAAGCTGAGTTTTAGGACGACTTTAAAAAGGAAATTATGTTCTAAGGATCAAACTACTCAACTCACATTATTTATTTGAAGAACGTCGGCATACGGAAGAAAAATTATTTAGAAAACAGTCAAACCCTGTAATGGATGGATTTCATGTTTCACTCGTAAATACGGATACCTTTCGGAAAAAGAGATTTGCTGAGGTGGACAAAAAACACATTTTTCTCCCAAGACTCCTTTGATTGTTATTTCTTCAATCTACATTTCCTTGGGAAAACCGTCAAAGGAAATCAAAGGGGCAGGTATAACAGTATAATCCGTTTATTTACATAATAAAATAACAAACACGTCTATACTGTTTTACCTCCGTAGTCTCAATATTTAGATCAGTATTTGTCGTTCTACATAGATGAATTTTTCTCAATTTAAAATTGAGTTTTCTATGCAATTTACATACGTCACAATGACAAAAGACAATAAAAGGTGCCTTGTATTGAATAATTTATATTTACACTGGTATTTTAACAGTTAGTGTTTAAGACGACCACGGCTATCACATGAAGAGCCCTAGAAATTGTTGCTTTTTTATGTCTTCACGCTGGTTAAAACGAGTTGCTTCAAGTATTTTTCTCCTTGGTTTGGTGGTGGCCATCGTTATTTTATTGCTACCTGGAGAATACGAAAGACATCGCATTCAGAAAATATTAAATAAGACTTTTAATAATACTATGAACAGCGAACCTCAACGACTAAACGTATCTGTGACCGGAAAGGGAATGCTCAGTAATACAGCACCTTTATGATATGATTCCGCTGTATACCAAATGGCGACGCCTACATGTCTAAACAACCGGCTGAGCGGAGAGATCTATCTTAAAAAGAAAAACATTACAAAAGCGGAAAGCAACAACATGTCGACATGCGGCGTTGAAACGTCTCCTGCCTTGATGAAGGAGCTCTACATCTTCTCTCACTTGAAACAAGGGATATCACCCACCGATGGAAGATGTAACATATTCAGCTCACGAAACAATACACAGTACAAAGTGAGAGTCACTTATAGACTTCTCACCCGTAAGCACCACTGAGTGGATTTGAAAATGCAAATAACAAAGGAAACAGATAGATCATAACAATGCGCGGCTGCACCATGCAAGATTAGTTGTTCTTTGATGAGGCTTTTGAATATCTATGCTAATTTTATGTTCGGCTTTTAAAATGCAATTTACATTTCCTAAAATAACCACTAAAGACAACTGTAAGGTACGGATCCGAAGATATATCCGTACGGTCATAAGGGTAACAGTCCACCGACATTGCAGCTAGTGGCTTTTTTTAACACAGGCTAAACATCAACATATTTTCAATGATCAGTTGAAAGGTTACTCTGGTCAGAAAAAGCTTCATTCATTGACATACGGCCCTGTGTTTCTCATTAAAGCGGTAAAATTCATGAATGCGATTCAAATTTATCCAATAAACCACCAACAAAAGGGATGAGCGTGTTCCAGAGCGCCTAAAGAGCCACTGCAAATAAATTGAGGAAGCAAGGAGGTATCGGGGTACCGCTTCACTTTTAAATTAAACGTCTTTTTTCCTTCTCCATTTTTCATCTTTCTGGGCTGCTGTTAGATAAATTTGGGCTTATTTAAATAAATTAACCCCTATAAGGTAAGCTAGGAGCGTACAATACAATGCAAAAAGACATGGTGTTAACTGTACACATTTGTTCTGGTTATCTACGTGGAGATTGACGAACTGGAGTAAGTCAAATCCATAGTACTCAGAGCGAGAAAAACGCGGAATTCATTGGTTGAGGGCACGCAAAAAAATCCACTATGGTAATGGTAACCCTGTCTGTCGGTTTTCGATCGTGTGTCATGACCATGCGCTACAGAGTATAGTTCAGTAGCAGCGAAAAGCGGCTTAAACCACTCGGTAACAAATACTCTTTTGTCTCTTTCATCTCAGTGGTAATTAAGTTTTTTTTTGCTCTGAAAAGCCACTCTAAGAACTTCATTCCCAAAATAAAACGCTTTTCGTCCTCAACAGTTATCCACCATCCTTTCCTTTCTTAAAAGGAAATTGTTGGTTGTCCGCTCAAAATCAGTTGTTGGCAGGTATCTTCCAACAGCATATCTTCTTCAAAAAGCGCCAAATATATCGTCTAAAGCTTCGATCTTGTGCTGCGTATATCACTGGATTACACGCAGCATTCAGAACTAGCATCAAGTGGGCGACTGATTTGAAGAGTGGTGACCAAGAGCCTGTGTCCACAGCCACAGACTTACCGGCGAAACATTCGACAAAGAAATAAACGTCGAGTGGAAGACACAAGATAACGTTTACAATAGTAATGGAAAGGACAACTTTGGTCAACTTCTTCCTCTGAAGCATTAAGGAACGCTCAGAAATATTTACGGTTTGTATGTTTCCACCCCATAGGCGATAAACCACCCGGGAATAGAGGCAGGCCTCGACTCCAAGTGGCACCAAACCGAGGACGATGCACCAGATGAACACGTCAATTTTCCGAAGAGTATCAGACCAGTTATAGAAGCAAATTTTCTTCTCCTCGTTAAAATTAACAACCCAGAGCGGAATCAGCTCCAGGCTGAATGCAGCAACCCAAGAGACAGCCACCACCAGACGGAGTCTCTTAGCGTTTATTCGTCCGCGAGAGCTGAGCGGATGAATCACGGCAAAATATCTTTCCCAGGCAATGAACACCAAAATTAATATCGATGCTACCGCTGCTAAGTAAATGAAATTTCCGTTAGTTAATGTCTTGCACAAGATATCTCCAGCCAATCCACTGGGATGTGTATAAAGACCAGCGTGAAATGTCCTTGGAAAAGAGAATAAACCAACGAAAAAATCAGCAATGGCGAGATTGGCTAACAAGCAGTTCATAGAAGTCTGCAATCTGCGGTGACACGAGACAACTGCGATAACCAGTGTGTTACCAAACAGGCTTAATGCTATCGACACACCGAATAAGACTTGGAGGACGAGTGTTGTCGCCAATGGCATCTTTATCTTTGCTGTTTCACTTACGATTTACCATCAAACTTCCAATAAACAAGATATTCCGTCGTGTGGCTGTTTTTTTAACTATAGCCCGCCCGACTCTTTCTTTCACGTGCCCATTACTGTTTTGTCTACATACTTAAAAAAAACCTGCTCAATTGATTGGTGCCGTGTTATCATATTGAAAACATCTCGATAAAACAAAAGCATGGTAAATGGAAATATCTCATTAAGTTAAAACATACACTTCCTAATTCAAAGGTAGTCAAAAGCTGACAAAGATTGCTACAGCCCGGCGGGGTTCTCAACATAATATATTATCTTATTACTGATGTACATCATACTTTCAAAAAATAATTGCCACCTTATTTCTCCATTTTTTTTTGAGTGGGCCCCGAAAATTCACAGATGAAAGTAAAAAAAAAAACTTTCTACCCGTGAAAGAGATGAAGAAGGCTCTTTAAACTAAACAGATTCGTTTGGGCGTTGGATAATTTGCACAAAAACGATAAATGACCACTAATGGAAAAGTTACTATTCACTTGAGTTAAGAAAAATTGACAAGTTTAATCTTATGGTGATTTCAGCATTTCAAATTGCGCACCGGAAATGAATGAAGAGCTTAAAAAGTAAAGGTACTGTGTAGAAGAAAATGTGTTGGGTTTTTTTTTTTGGTGAATTCTGTAGATTTTCCTTGATTTGCAAAAACAAGTCCTTGAAGAAAAGAGAAATTTCCACTTAATAAACGTCGCAGAATTTTGCTACCTTGATCGGATAAAATGTTGTCATTTCTAAAAACGCACACCTGAAAATTTGTTTCACCGAAACCCAAAAAAATCCCCAATTCTCGAACTAAGATTAAAAAAAAAAAAAACTAAAAACAAAAATCTAACAAGATCTTTGGTAATGTCACAAACCATTCGCGAAAGCATTTTAATATTTTGTTCATAAAATTCTTATAAATGGTACTTTAAAATATTTATAGTGAGATGTTAACCTCAAGCATTACTCTCAGTACGTGTTTAACGACCAATAAGCTGCAGTAAAGACTAAATTTGAAAATCACTTATCTGCAATATGGTATAAAAACACATAAAAAATGCATATTCACTTTCTCAAAAAAATAAATTATTCTCCTTTTCGCCCATTTTAAATACTTGAATCATCCAAACTATTAATTTTCCTTATGCGTTCATGTGTTTCCACGCAGAATGGAATCCATGTTAGGCGCTACTCCTAAGGGCGCCCACTTACCAGAGTTGCAAAATTACGATCATTATACAATCAGCCCGCGAATAAAAAACCTATCAAGCGACTGAAGCTTCCTTTATCCGTGCCGATAGGAGTTTTTCTATTGTTCATACTCCTGTTAAGCGGCCATAAAGCATATCATGCACGTTTTAAATTTGTATGCTGTTTTGAAAACATCACTGATTTCATACCTCGATACAAAACACATATTAATCAGCTCACTAATGGTGTTGCGAGGTTTTTAGGACCTACGTGCTTACATTCAACATACAAAGTACCTTGTTTAGCCCGCACCTTTCATCAATTTTGTGACCAGTCATTCTTACATTTGGAAAATTAAGTGACCACAAGCATTTGTGTCGGGGCAGTTCATAAAACAGAGTGATGTAACTCTATTCCCACCTGACTGTGATAAGTTCAGGTCCACTCATGCAAGCACACTACCGGTCGTTTAGTATTCACTCAGCGAAATGCTTCCCCTGACCATTACGAATATAACACCTTTTAACCTTACATTTTAGTGTGAGTGAGAAAACACTACTACAAATCAGACCTTCGCAATTTTATTTAAGAATCCCTCTTGTCAAAACGGACGAATCATATAATCCATTACGCGTGATTACCTATGGAAGTGAAGTAAGACGATGTGTTTACTAACATCATTATGATTTATAATCATCAATACTTAAATTTTCCTTCCACAGTCGTTTCTTAGACCCGACAGCTTGTAGCTTTAAATCACTACCAAAGAGACTAAGTTCTTGCCATTCTTTATAATCCATGTGCTAAACCGTCAGCTCTAGGATCAGAACCAGACCAATAAACATCCCGTTTAAGTCCATTTTTGCAAGGTGCTTTCTTTCGAGTAATTATTTGACCCCGTCCAAAAACACTCCTGTTATGGCCACACACCGGGTATGCAACTTTGTGTCCGAGTTCCTTTAGTTCACTGGCGACTCTTCCGGAAATGCCTTCCTCAAGGAAAACGGACCCAAGGCCTTGGCCTTCACTCTGGATACAAAATCTCGGCATATCCAAAGCTTGTTGAGGGTCCATCCCAAAGTCGATCATATTAAGCAGTACCTGAAACAAGGACACAGCTAAGGTTCACACCTTGCCTTTTACAGAAAAGGAAAGGAAAGGATAGAGGAACATTTATTAACCTGTAGTATCATATGACCGTGTGGCCTCGCGCGCTTTTGTTGAAAAACTATATGTAAATATACCCGTGTGAAGGCCATATGCAATAATTTCAGAGGGGCCAGAATAAACCGTCTGACCCCGAAAAATGTGAACTGACAGACGAAGGAAAGAAAATGAATGAGCAGCGGTCATATGATAAACTTCTTATTGACTGAGATCGGTGAGGACGGACGGGAAAATATTTGACTCGGGTTATGACATAGGTCCCTGGCTGCACTCGATAATTACTTCTTGTCCTTCAGCCACGCATTTCTCGATCCGGTCCTTCCACTCAGTCAATAAGTACACACCATGCTTGCATCCACCCCCATCTCACCTGCACATGTCCTTGCGGCTGCATAAAGCCTCCCATAACACCAAAACACGCGAACAATTCCCCAGTCTCCTCATGTGTACTCATACCAGGTATGATGGTGTGGTATGGCCTCTTCATTGGCTCTAGGAAATTTGGATGTTCAGGACGAAGCGAAAAATTACTTCCACGATTCTGGAAAAGAGTATTACAGTCAGGAAGTACATTAATTTTACGTTTTATTCTCACAAATTAGGACTGAAGTGTGAAGTTTGAACTTTCTCTACCATCCAAGAATATGATACATCAGCATACAATACCTAACAGGTAAGATAGTTATTCTAAGCTATTAAAGGAACTTATATTTACAGGTTACCAACCACTTTTGAGTACTCAAAGGCATTCAGCAGCAAGATTTCATCACCGCTTGACCATTTGGAATATATCAGACATTACCGAACAGCTCTACACACAAATGTCAATACAAGTCAAGAAATAGACGAACATTGTAAGCGTAATGTACTTACGTGAAGAGTGAATCCGCAACCCTCAGGAACCAGGCCCGTACCAAAGCTATGGTAATTACTGTTGATAAAGGAGCAGGCATTACCCTGAGCGTCAACAACACTAAAATATACAGTGTCACTGCCACTGAATGGTGAACCACGCTCATAGCTTCCCAACGCTCTGTAAAACAAGTAGAGAAAATAAACTTAGCATCACTAACAAGTGTAGCAGGAGTGAAAAAAATTGAAATGAACCTATGGGCCTGCATTTTTAATGGGAGGGAGTGGTGAGGAGTAGGCAAAGCTTTGAGGTAGATACAAGAGTCACCTCTGATACGATCTGAACTTCTAAAACATGGCCCCAAATACGCCGAGCAACACGCGTAACCAAAAAGTTTCGGATTACACCCGTTCCTATCAGCGTTTCCGAGTATATTTGCAAATTAAGTTAAATTTTCACCTACAGGAAAAACAAGGTTTCCTCTGCATAACCCACTGTGCAATGGTATACACTATATCCCATACAAGATCCGATCCTTAAAAATGGTTAGATTTTAGAAGCCTAAAAGAGAATAGAAAAACCATTTCTTGCAAAAAATATCCCACTACCAGTGTTTAGGTTAAATGTATTACTCGAAAAGCGAAAAAGCGAAAAAGAAAAAAAAAGGGAAAACTGGCAAACAATAAGAATACTGACCTATGGGCATTGATAAGGGCTCGACGTTTTGCTGCATATTCTTTACACAATAATCCACTAACGGGTACTTTGACTTTATTTGGGTCGGCGTTATACCACAGAGTATCCGCAAAACTTAACGACAAAGCTTCAATTAAGGTGTGGAGATATTCACTAGAGTTATGGGTCATCCCTGGATTGGAAAAACGAGTTTCAATTGTTTAACAAATTTTAAATTCATTTCATCATTGGACAATTATTCTAATAACGCAATATTGTTTTGAATGAATACACTATTACTCCTAATGCCACTTGTTTTACTGCGGTCAGTTGCTGCAACAGTTAAGTAATTTTACTACCTTTAACACTGCCACCACTGCTGTCACCACCGTGATTGCGGTGAGCATTTCTACTATCGCTACTGTTTGACCATTTACACCCTAACACCAGTATGCAGATTCCCCCTTCTTTTTCTCTTTACATTTCCTAGGATGCTGACCAGGAGAATTTGTTCAATAATCGAGAACTGCTTTAATTGGTGATCATTTCCTTGATTCTTATTCAGGGGTGTTATTGTGAGGAGACATTAGGTGCTAGTTACTTTAAGGAGTCAAAGGGTTACGCTTCTGCCACTACAACTGTTGCTACTAACCGATACAGCTACTGCTAATATTACTCCTGTTTCTACTACTACCGCAACTGATGTTAGTGCTCTTGCTTCTACTTCTGTTACTGGAAACTGCCACAAGTTTAATAGTTAATGTTTAAAGTTCAAATCAAAGAAATCATTATTCTCAAGTATTAAACGTTCTGAACATTTGTGGCACGTTGATCAGGGTGAACAAACCATCCAGTGGAAAGTGGAATATTTGCATGGGTAAAATGTTCTCACGTTTAACCGTCCGTTGAATTACGGCATAATGTTTTACCCCTTTGAAACAACACTTTTCCTTTCTTCGTGAAAATCGAAGTCTTTCTGGTGCTATCATTTATGAGACATTTCCGCGCTTTCTACCAAGACATTGCTGCTTTCAAGTCACCCTATCAGTGGGTCTATAAAAAAGGTCTTAATTTAAGAAACTGATACGGAACTAACTCCTAAAGGATCCCTTTTTTGCGGAAACGCTATTTTGGAAAACACAAAATACTTTGGAAAGTGTTGTTAACAGCACTGCTACAACCAAGCACTACTGAAACAAATCCTGTGGTAAAATATCTGTACTTCCTCAAGTGTGAGATTTTTGTTCCTGCTGCTATAAGTTTTCATTATTTCTAACCTTGGATGTCATATCCCTCTAGTATGTTCAATGCCAGTAGTGCAGTGATTCCCTGTCCATTTGGAGGCATTTCCCAAACATTTATCCCACGGTAAGAAGTCTTTATTGGTTCATCAAAAGTGCTGTAATGTTGCTGCAAGTCTTCAAGGGATAACAATCCACCATGCTCTTGTACAACATCAACTATTGCCTTGGCTATACGTCCTTTGTAGAAAGCATCTTTCCCTTTTGAAGCCAAGTCCTACAAAACATCAATTTGCAATGGTCACCCAGTCTACAGCAGCAGAAGAAACTGAATCTACTCATTAAGAGCAAATAAACCAAGTCATTCCTCTCATAAAGGAAAACCACTGGGATAGCACAGGTCAACTTGAAATAAATATTTATTTAGATGTCATTTTCTTTGATTGACATTCCAGGGTTTCCACCCTTTCTGTCCAATTCCCGCATGGCCAGGCTGAGTTACATGCACATAACTGAATGCTTAGCACCCCTTCCAAAAGTTTAATTCTTGTTTCTGTAGCCAGTTAAAATGTTTTTACAGTGTTAGCTCCCTTGCAGCTTTCCCACCTCTACCATCTGCACAGTACATCTGTACTTATTAAAGGAACAAATTATATGAAGTCAGTGTGCAAATTTTGAAGGCACAAAGTGGTTTTTTTGGGGTTTTTTTTGTTGTACTATTTCCTCTATTTCAACCATCACAACATTTGAGTAATCATAACAAGATTACGACAATGGAGAAGGGCATAATACAGCAAGCTAATTAGATGCCCCTCATGCTAAATTACATTTTTTCATACAGTAAAACATCATTGCTATGATTGGTTAATTATGAGGGCTGTACTTCAATGTTTGGCCCACTAAACTTAGAAGTTTGTTTGACTTGAAGTCTTCCCTCTCTGTTTGAATCCAAAGAAATAATAAATATCCAACTAACCTAGTTTTCTTGGTCCACATTGTAGGTTTTGAAATGTTGTTTTTTCTGCTTCATCCATGACTTACAATATGGACCAAAAACTCAGTTAGTAAGTGGTATTTTTGTTAACAGCAATATAGGAAAGGATTAGCTTTTCAAAAATAGAGAGGTAGTTCTTTTAGTTAATAGGGTTTGTGTGAAAAGGTTACCTCAAATGTTGCAGCTAAATGTGGCATCACCATGACATCACCTGCTTTGGGAGGATGTCCATTTAACAACATGTCACATCCATGTTTATTTGTTGGAACTTGAAGACATGACCCACATTTATCCCAAAAATAGGCAGCAACTGGGTGAACAGGGAATCCTTCCTTTGCTAAGTCAATTGCTGGTTGTAAGATATTTTTCAAAGATAACTGAAAACAACAATAAAGAAAAATAAATTGTGAGTTCAGTTGCAAATAAACAGCTAAATTGCATAGGGGTTCACTATTCTTCTAAAGCCTGGATTTACCTTTAAGGAAATGCAACATAAATTCACACGTGAATCGATCAATCGCTCTGATGAAGGGCTAATGCTCGAAATGTCAGCTTTTTTACCCTTTACGGTGGCTAATTTATGTTTTCAATTCAGTTGTTAACACTAAATTACCTGCTATACTCTCCGATGCAGCACCACAGTTTCTTTAAAAACTTACTCTTTATGAATTAATTCAAGTCTTCATGATACTGCATAGGATGCCAGGTTTTGGAAAATGCATCAGTTCTTCAAATAAATTTGATACCTTCCCAGTCTTTGCCTGACATGATGAGATACTAAATACATAATTTTTCAATGATCGAGAAACAACAAAAGATAAATTTTCAGTCTAGCTGAAGGTGTTTCTCAGCTGCTTGTTCACCAGTTTTGAACTTTTCTTGAATTACTATGTGCCAGCTAATCAAAAATGCTAAAAGTTATCAATCTAATAATCTGATGGCTTGCTTTTGAGTGAAGAGGGACACCTAATAGGTCATTACAATTACAAGTACCTCTCCACTACCAAACTGTTCCACTGTATCGCACCAAGCAGCAGCAGCCCCAGGGACAGTGATACAGTGGGCAGATGTGTAAGGCAAGTGATCATCACCAGGCTTTACGACACCTGCTCTTTTCAGGCAATCTAATGTTAAGTTGGATGATGCTCGTCCACTTAAAAAAATGGAACACACCAAAAAGACAGAATTATGAATAAATAGGAAAATTTATCAACTATGGTAAAAATATCACCCTCTTTACTTTCTCATACATAATAGAGACTAGATCCCATACATGATGATAAAGTATTAACTGGCTGCAGTTTTGTAGCCTAGCAAAAAAAACACTTGAGCAAAATAATGGAATTTTAAATGCCCAGATTTGGTTATGTAAATTACTATAAATAAAAGTGAGGCAGGTTGAGTTGTTAGAGTTAAGGAAAGGAGGATGCAGACTCAAAGGGAAACTCCTGCTGTTTTTTCTCTCTAAAATAGTACCTCATTTTCCGGAAACAAAACTGTAACATTATACAGCAAAACTGGAGGGGATTTTCTCGTTGATACCGAAATTGATGTGCAAGCTACAATCTGCCTCCTTCATCATCACCCTTTGACGTATGAAAGTAAGATTGGATGACCACACAAACACTTCAGATCACTTCCAGAAAGTGCCCTGTTTTTCCCGTGTCTCTCGTACGCATGTTAAAAGCACATTTTCAGGGGGTAGGTCAAATGGGGCAGATTAGGTAGTGGGCCTGACGGAAAAGGAACAAATTTCCAATTGATCATCTCTCGAGTTTGACACCTGACCCTCTCAAATATTTTTGGGAGCATCTACGCAACCATAGCGCTAACTTCAACCGTAGCCTGTTTTGGCGACGACTCGAACAGAATATAGACAGCACCTAGTCGAAACAGCTCATATGATTTGCGCGTGCATGGCAGTTACTTGCCCTACTCTTCACATCTGAAACAAACTTTTGGATCTTGACTTCCCCCGGTCTAATAGTCTATAGGAAAGTTCTGAATATGAATTACTATAAACATCAATACCTCCCATTGATTCCTTTGACAATCTTTTTTTGCGCGTCATAAAATAAACAGAACGCATCTCCTCCTATCCCGGTACTGCAAGGTTCCGTCACATTCAAACAGGCGGCAACGGCGACTGCTGCGTCGGCTGCATTTCCACCAGCTCGTAAAATTTTTAATCCTGCGTCTGTTGCTAGTGGTTGACTTGAAGCTACCGCTCCACGAAGGGAAAGAACAGGAGATCGACGAGAAATGAAAGGAAACGAAGATTCCCCGGAATCTGCCGCCATGTTTTTTAATCACCCCTACCCAGGGTTACTCCTCGAACTGTGACCGGGTGCCCTGGGTAAGAGGAGCACCAAAGGCATAAATTAAATGTAAGAGAAAATAAAGTAATTATTCAAACCTTGCATCCTTCCGGATTACCTTTAGAAGTGCAGTTACCTACACCACCTTTTCTGACGAGGTTTTTATGCTTTTCAAAGACCTACAGAAGGGTTCGGTACAGTCAAAGATTAACGTTAAAATATAACGTTGGGATAAGTTAGTGCCGGTTCAGTACGCAATTTTGCTGTTGAGAAACGTGGTTTTAATTACCAGCCTTTTAATTTTTAGTGTCTACAGTGACTGGTGAAGCTTGCACACAGCCAATTTAACGTGATTTTAAAAGGTAACTGCAGAGGGAGATGCGGCAGTTTTTTGTTTTTGTTTGTTTGTTTACCTCACAAAATTGGGCTCTATATTTTAGCTATCTTAAAACTAGTTGACTGAACTATCTAAAAACTACCCATTGACTAACTTGGTCCCTTGCGTAATCACGTCATCCTAATTCCTACTCAAAGCTATCTTATCATTATCCAATAATTGCCGTTTTTTTTAATTTGTACCTTGGTTTGTCCATCCACAAAATGGTTTCGCCAGTTTCCACACTTCCACGCTAAATTCAAAACTGCGTTCGAATGAAAATCTTCCCCTAGCCTGCAGAGCACGCATAACTTTGGCGAACGAATGCTCAGTATTCACTTGGTGATATCTCTAACTGCCATTTTTGACTGCTACGGCAGCGGAAAGCTGGGGAGAGAAATAAATTTGTACCAAGTGGGTGAGTGACGGTCAAAAAGAAAGAGAGGGGAGGGATGAAACCTGAATGTTACAGTCTTCTCGACTTTCCCTGGCCCCCTCCCCCTACCGTCCGCTCTCTTACTTTAAATCAGAAATGGGCGGTCGGATAAAAAATTTAAAATTAGGGCTCATCAATATTATAAATTATATATTATATATATTAGCCAATAAATTTTAGTTCGTCAGAGCGAACGGGGGAATTGTGGGTTGTGTGTGTAATTATGTGCAGAAAATGAGGCTACGCTATTGGTAGGAACATGGTGACGAGAAAGATAAGAATAAATTAACAAGCGTTCGTGGACACTGTGTGTTTGAGAGTGCCGATTTGAAAGAGGGATTTTTTTGTAGAGTTTTGCGGCTTTCCGAACTGCCTAGATGAAGGAAAATTTGAAATCAGCGGGCTGTGCAGTGAACTACGACCCGCTAAACTGACCAAATATAGTTCACGCACCAGATTAGAACTATGATAATGTCTCTCAACAAAAGAGCTACCATGCATATGGTGAGTGCATTCGTCACGCTTTGGCGGACACAACCTCGTGGTTTCCATGTGGTTCTTCGAGAGACTACCCCGGAGGTCCTTGTTACGGCAAGTAAAGCCTAGACTTGAAATAAAGCACATCTTTCTTGCGTTATCATTTGCAATGGTTTATGGAATGTGTTCTGTAGGAACAAGTGACACAACGTTCATACGATTGAAAGGAAACTAAAGATTTTAACAAGTAACTTGGTCGAACCCTAATTTGATAAAATGATGTGTGTAATTACTAACAAGTTTATCATTCAAGACTGATAAGTCTGACGCCGAATAATGCAGCCTGTGTTTGGAGTGAGTGTTATCTACTCTGCAATCATAATCCGAAGGTATCGTCTGCCCAATTTCGGTCGAAACCATCAGGTAAGCAGGGTTGTCAATCCTTATATAGGTCATCAATTCAGCCAACCGGACCAAGTTTCTTCACCGGAATTTTTTACCGGCGAACAGAATTACGTCCAGATTAGTCTGCTTTGAAATAATAATACATTACATACTTCATACGAGATGATATTATGTATTTAGAGCTGGTTGTTTCCGCTCAGAGTCTCACTATAAGTACGAAGTATTAGAATAGGAACTGAAAACAGACTCTCAAAAATCATAACATTTTATGCGACCGTTCTTAGTTCAAAATGGTGGTCTCTCTAATTATCTTGCGATTTTCTTACATTGAAGCAAATCTGAGTTGTTTTACCGGTCAAGTTTACAATTTCTTTCTTGACTAAAACCGAAATGTTTCATGAAATCAGTCAGCTAATAATAATTGTAGGAAACGTCTGCGTTTGCAGCTTATTTGGTTCAAAGTTTCTTCAATGCTTTCTAAAGAGTTCCATCTTTGATGCTCATCTATGAATCAAAATTTGCAAATAAGCTCGATTTATTATACAGGCAGACCATCCAAACTGAGAACTATGGTACTCAAACCGTTTGAGTACCATAATAGAAGCAAGACTCGATTTTGTATGAAAGCTGAAATTGCGATCCAGTACCGAGGAAGCAAACTGAAGAACTGTATTGAAGCAAACTGCAAATTTTGCTTATAGAATATTCTGCAAACGAAACATCTTACCTCTACAAGAAAAAGAACATAAGTGAACATACACAATACATACCTGAAAATCAGGCATAATCAGGCAGAATGATAAATGAACTGTACGTTCTTCTCAGAAGCAAATGATATTGCAAGTTTCGCTTATACAGATGAGCAAATTCGGTTATCTAAACCACCTAAGATACTTGTTTAGAGTCGAATTTAGCGCAAGTGTGTTTTCACGGACTTGAGAGTTGTAACTATCACTTTAGCTAGCCCAGCTATAACTGAATTTCGATGATTATAGGTAATTTCATCATAACTTATCACGCTGCATAATGACAAATGAACAGTACATTCTTCTCAGAAGCAAATGATACTCCAAAATTTTTCTTAGAAAATATTTTGCAACGAAATATCTTACCTCTACAGGACAAAGAACATAAGTGAGCATATACGATACATCCCTGAAAATCACTGCGGTGCAACAGCAACAGCTATAGGTTGATAACATTTCTGACGAGCTCTGACAACCAAAGAGTTGCTTAACATTTAGCTTCGAGTTGATCGAAAATTTACGCTTAAGATTTCAATCCTAAAAAATATTATGAACAGGAGTATTCCATCAACTTTGTCGCAAAACACAAAAGCATAAACAATTCAAAATCAAAACCATCGTGAGGTTGAATTGCACGAAATGCAGCAAGGAACCTTCGTATTTGGAATAGGTCGGCTCTCTAAGCACTTCACTTACACATAACAATAAAAAATCCTCAAATAGATTTCTCATATCGCTTTATGAGATTTCTTTCTAACTGTCAACATTTGCTAATTTATCGACTTTGATTGTTTTGAGTGTTGCTGACTATTTAGCTGTTTCGAGTTAAAAGGATGCAACTTTTAAATACATTGAGTTTTAATGAGATATATTCCCGTAACGTTTTAAAAGTTCAGTGCCTCATACAGAACGAATAAAAAAACTATAGTCTTAAATTCTTTCAGTTATATCCAGTTCACAATCTCAGTTGTTTTCATCTGTCTTAAAAATTATTTCCAGTTATCTGAAAGAGCAAAACGTGATGACATTTTAATTACATCCTTTCTTTCTGCTATCAAACTTCAAAGGACTGATACCCCTACATGAAAAAGTGATTTTGAAGTTAAAAACGCAAGATATTTGCTTTAATTGTTTGGAATTCTCGAAGACAACTTAATCGGCAGCATTTTGATCAATCAAAGGCAAAGTTTCGGTGAACATTGATCTCAGGCTATCCATTTATTCATTATATATCTTATTTAAAGAAGGCCAAACTTAAAGTTTACCCGGCATTTTCAAAATTGCACAATCCTATAAACCTCAGCCGGGCTTACATCGATGAAGTAAAAAATTAAGGTTCCAAGAAGTCTCAGAGTCCTTTGGCTCATATTTTGGTAGGTGTTGAAAGCTTGGCTTCCAGGCTTTGTAAAATTATAGTAATTGCATGTGTCAATAACAAATATTAAAAATGAGTTAATACGCTGCAATGATTTGAGAAAACGTTCACTATTCATGTGGCTTTGTATTTTGATTATCTCATCTTCTTCACCACGCAAGGTATCTCAAATATCTTTTTAGAAATTATAGAGACTGAACTAGCATCACATTTAATCGTTTATCGACTCTACTTTTTTCCTCTCAATGGTCGGTCAAACAGACACACAACTTGGTTTTATTATTTCATTGAATGTCTGGATCATTATAACAACAGTCCTCGCGGCTTATGAAACGGGCATCTATACATTTCTTCCAAACAGTTAATTAGCTTGTGATCATTGTCAGTTGAATTTGTGATCCATGGATACACTGCGTTACGGAACTAACATTATTGAACGAACGATATTTCGAAGAGAATAAGATGGGATTATATTCATTTTGTCTCTGCTCAGGAATCATCTGAGCACTGTACAGGAAATTTCAATTCTGCAAGAGAAAGGGAGAGTGAATTAGGAGAGATTTGAATAAATCACTATTATTTATAATGGTTTTTTATATGTAATTTAATATTGTAATAGAGATGTACATGTTCTTACCCAGTTGCGTATAGTGGAAGTGGTGTAACACAGCATAATGTGGAGAGATGGACAGGACATCTTGGCTTCGGGTACTGCATCTTTCTTTATTGTAAAGAAATTTTGAACTTAATCAGTTTATTGATTGTTTTATGCAAAGTAAGAGCGCGAAATAGACTCAGCAGATGCTGAGCGGTTGCTAATTTAGCAATGGAAGCCCTGTTTGCTTTCGTAACCGCCACGTGGCGAAATGTTACCGCTACAATTAAGTAACGCACAATGTAGAAGTGTTCTTCGCAAATTTAAGAGCTAGTGTTTACAATGTAGATCAATCCGACAATCAAATTTGAAGTATGGTGTGTCTGTTTCACAATGTTTTAGTTTGATATAAGAGTTCGGTGGTTCAAATGCTTCAATGAAGGAAGATTAATACCTTCACTCTCTTACACCAACATCGTCGAGGAAATTTAGAACATCACTTTCGAGAAGGAAGATGAGAATGACACGAGTTTTACCTGATATCGAAGAATTTACCTCCACTAAATCTCACC